TAAATATATCCTTAAGACATGAGAAAACTCGTCAGGAGTTGTATTTCGTTTCATCCATCATGTACTAAAAAATCTATGGATAAATTGAACTCAACCTAAATAACTCGTCAAAACCCCCACGTATCGCTCACAACAAAGGTTACGCCTAACGCAATTTCGAGAGATTAACCGTATCATCTCATCGGTGATGTCTCATGCAACTCAACAACACAAATCATTAAGAACTGATACCCACGTGAATATTAGACCTAAATCTATGTCTAGAGTTTAGAATCTAACAGATGTTCATCTTAGATCAAGTTCGACCGTATATGTCTATAGCAATCCAAACTCATTAAATAAAAAATCAAAGATGACATCGCTAAAGAGTTGTAAAAGAGATTTTATACAAAGATCCATAAATATACATACAATCAAGTTAAACTTAATTTCAACCGTATATGTCTATAGCAATGCAAACCCATTAAGTAAAAAATCAAAGATGACATCGCTAAACAGTTGTAAAAGAGATTTTATACAAAGATACATAAATATACATACGATCAAGTTAAACTTACATACAAAACCCCAACAAATAGAGGGTACAAAGAGAAGAGAGAAGAAGAACACAAATCTCACCGTTTGTCAACTACGATTGAAGTGGATTCGACTTCGGATCGTCAAGATGCACACTCTAATGTTGTTTCTAAGCTAAATCTACTCAAGAATGTGTTTGATGAAGTTGGGGTTAAGAGTTCCCAGCAACATAACCTAAAAAAATGCTGAAAAGTGACTTAAATAGGGGCTGAAATAACGTGAAATGCGCTAAGCTCACTATGAGAGCGCTTAGCGCCATCCACAAAATCACTTTTCTTGTTTTTTTTCATAACTTTTAAACCGTAGCTTCGATTGACGCATGGTTGGAAGCATTGGAAAGCTTATTCAATGTTCTATATGAAAATGACAAAATATCCTTGCTTGAATACCTACAAAATAAGATAAACTAAAATTAGAAGAAAAAAAATGATATTTATTACAACCGCGCTAAGCGCCCTCAGGTTGCGCTAAGCGGACTCTCACTTAAAATACCCTTAAACTGCCTTAAAGCACGCTAAGCACGGTCAGGAAAACAAAAATTCTTCAGCTACTTTCATCCAGTTCCCAACGCGCTAAAAAATGCTCTAAGCGTGAATGACAATATTTTGACTCCAAAATTCTGCATTTGAAGCATCCCTCTTGACTCAAATGGTTTCATACTTCAACCATGCATTATTAACTATGAAAATAGATTAAAAAAACTGTCAAACTCAATCATATGTAAACAAAAATACTAGTTATACACTATAATGTAAATTATACTAAATATACACAAACACAGGGAATTATTAACAAAAAACTAATGAATCGAGCCAATAAGTGTCAATTATTTACACTTAAAATCAGTATAATTTAGCACTTATCAGTCCCCAGCAGAGTCGACAATCTGTCGCACCACAAAAAAATGAGAGAACCCAACCTCGCGAGTAAGCTCGCCGATTGGACATGACAGAAGAATCACAACGGGACCTTATTTATTCCCAAAAGAGGGAAAGGGAAAATATCGAGAAAACCCACGGAATCAGAAAAAGGATAGGACAAGGTCATCACAATCAAATTTTGGGATTCGAAAGTCAGTTATGCAAGGGGAAGGTATTAGAACCCCTCACATCCATTGTACTCAACGGGAACCATCTAGGTTGTCTGCGCCTGAAAGAGTGTTGTTTATCTAAAGGTTTATCTGCTAAAGGATAATGGGATGTGTTTTATTAAGGGTGTTCGCCTCGGCGTTGGCCTCGTGCCTACATACCTTCATGGTCCAATGAGGAAGTCAAAGCTTTGAGTTCAACCTAAAAAACGATTGTTTGTTTATTGATTTTACCTTAAAAAGGGATTTTCAGAGGGTGGCCATAAGGCACAAAAAAGATAAGTTTGATGAGTTGATGTTGTTTTTATGGTTTTTAAAAGATTGTTCTTGATTAGGATTACACTAAAGATTATATGTAAAGGCGATTATTTCAATCAACCAAGTCGAACGCCTTGTGTTAAAATAATCAGAGAGAGTGCAAGGATACTTCATTCTCACTCCTTCTCCACCATTTAAGGCTCGTGGCGCACAACCTCTCTCGTGTTTTATTGTGTTTTGAGTTTTAATTAAGAAAAAACCGCTTGGTGTTGGATCAAGGGTTTGTTGGATTGATTACAAAAAATGTTTTGGTGAATGGGTAGGTTGATGTCGATACACAAGGCAATCGACTTACAAATGGTGAATGAAAATGGAGTGTGATTGGTTGAAGGATTGATGGTGAGGAAAACCTATTGAACTGATTTATCATCAAAATGTTTAACGTTGGATCAAGCTTATTTGTGATCTTTTGAGAAGAGTGTGATTGATTTTATTCTTGAATTAGGAAAAGCCTAAGCAACTAGCAAACAAAGAGAAAGCGGTAAAGTTATTACACGTCATGAGAGTGGGGATACATTTGTTCAACTGGGGATGGAATAAGCCATAAGCACACAACCCAAATGATAAACTAAACATGTACTACCAAAGTAGGCTAGTCTTTTAAACGACCAACTATAAGTAATTGATCGAATAAGTCTCATTGTAAGAAAGCCCAATAGTAAGCTATGAGTGATGTGTAAAGGTGTCCTAAGACAAAACAATACAAGAATAGAGACAACCACTCCAAAGCTCCTTTTCTAGGGTTTATGTACAAGGTCCCAAACTCCATGATGTCAAGGATAGTAACCACAGTCCAAGCTTGAAAGTTTTTTTAGGGTTTCAATAATTTTATCATGTTTTTATATTTTTCTTAATGAGATGAACAAGATAGGATGAAGATGAGAATATGATATATGAGCAATAAGATATGAACAAGGATATAAGATCAATTATATAAGTTGGAAGAATGTAAATAACGCAAAGATAAAGCAAGAGAATAATGAGCGGAAATTAAAGTTAGTTGTTAATTGTTATTGATCGGATGATCACTTTTTTGAATCGGGTCCACTTTAGTGTTATGTTAAGCAATCGTAGCATAATTTATGAGGAAGACCATACTATGGGAGACCGGTCAGTAACATGTTTGTGCTAAAACACAATAGAGAAATGATATGTAGATCATTCTCTAAAAATTTTGCCACACGAAAAGAAAAAAGAGAATGATATCGTCTTAATCAAGAACTTCTATCGATTAATTGAAGGTAACCTATCACAATTTTAAAATATGAAAAATGACCTAAATGATTATTGTCCGTCAATTTAAAATAATGAAGGTTAAATAACTTCAACAATCAATAATCCAAGATATGTAAAACTTCATTGACCAAAATAATAAAAATCCAAATGAAAATAAAGTAAGGAGAGGGGTGGCGCGACATGGAAAGGTGGTGTGTGTGAGAAATTAAAATGGGCTTTCAAGCCCATTTCCACAACACTGTTTGGCACGGTTAACATCATAAAAACAAACCAAGGTCATGTTTCTTCTATTATTAAAAAAAATATTGGAAAAGTGAATCAATCAAAGCCATGAAATTAACACCAACATCTGCTTCGAGGCACGTGACTGCTTCTTTTAAAATTGAAAAAAACTCAGGTTTTTTACACATGAAAAAAGGAAAAACATAAACTCATCATGATGCTCACCCTCTCTCTATTTTTTTGCACAATTCATTCTAGGTTTGTATTGGTGATTTCGTTCTTCTTCATCTCAATTTCTTCTCTATTCATTGGTGTGTGTTTCATTGTTTTGTAACATTGTTTTGGACTCTTGGATTTTTGTGTATGGACTTTGTGGTGCATGTATATCATGAAGGGTAACTCAAATGGATTTTTGTAACATTGTTTTGGACTCTTGGATTTGGATGTATGGACTTTAGTTTTTGCAGTTCTTGTAATGGGCTTGAAATTAGCATGGCCTTTTTTGTGAAATATGTACTTTGAATTTTGTAGCATATGAAATTATCTTTAAATTTTTTTTCTGTAAGTGGACTTTGAAAATGATAAAACAATGGGCTTTGCAATTTGAAATCTTTGATTTTTACACCTCCCATATTTTCTTGGAACCATGTTTGGAATTGTCTTAATGAGAAACTACTTATTCCGGAAGAAACGCGTCTGGCGTGCGAACCATGGCATGAAACAACGTTCGCGGTCCTCTTTTATAAAAATCAGATTGAATCAAATTAATTATCTCCCTATTTGGTTATATAATTATATTAATTAAAATTTTGTTTTATAGAAAAAAAACAAATTATTCTTGTTATTTGATTCTACCAAAACATGGTTTTCGATAATCGATAGATACAAATCATATGCTTCATTAAACGGTTTACTCTGCTATCTCCTGTATATATATATATATAGCTTCCACCTTCTTTGATTAACTAAAACATCCAATTTTTATCTCTCTTCAGCTAACAAGGTGAAATTCTCTCTCCAGAAAACTGAATAACTGATTTTTTTTTAAGGTTTTCGAAAAAACTGAATAACTGATTTGGTTGATTTTAGGGTTTTTTTTTTTATATTAAAAAGGGTTGTGTTTGATTTCTAGGATCAACTCAGAATTGTTTCTTTTTTGTTGTGAGTGTTTATGCTTTCATTTTATGTTTTTTATGTAGATGGTTTTGTGGCTCTTAAGGTTTGATCGGTAATTTATGTTTTTATGTTTCTGGGTTTTAAGGCCTTTCCGGGTTGTTTTGTTTTTATGTTTGTTCTGTGTAGTTCTGAGGATAATAGAGGACGAGGTTCAATATGACAAAAATTATGATACTGGCACAAAGGAACACCACACACGATACTACTAGCAGTAGACACCGATGATAATTTGAAACGATAAAAGTAGTTAATGTAATAAGTGCATCGGTGTCGGAAGCACAAACACCGAAAACACAACACTGATAATAATTTTAAAAAAATCAATAAATTAAACAGAATCACGCTTGTTTGATGCGAAATACATATTTGATAGCAGAATTGGAAAATGGGTCAAGTTTTGGGATGCTATCAAGTGGAACAGTCCAATGTTGCTATAAAGGAGCAATTCGGAAAATTTATTGATGTTTTAGAACCTGGATGTCATTGCCTGCCTTGGTGTTTGGGCTACCAGATAGCCGGTGGATTATCGCTTCGTGTCCAGCAACTCGATGTTAAATGCGAGACAAAAACAAAGGTCCTTGAATTGATTCTCTCTTTTATTACTCAGCATATTATGCTTCGTGGTTAATTTTCTTGTTTGTTTTTATGCTTCAGAAAATTTCACTTTTCACTTCTAACAAACCAGTTTTACTTCAGGATTAAGAAAACTTACTGATAAACCATTTTTACTTTAAGATTGAGAAAACATAATACTGTTAAATCTGTGCTTTTGAAAGGTGGTTGAATATTTTGCATGCGGTTTACTGTGACTACTGTGACATTTTGTACTAGTATCTTACTGTTATGATCTTGTTTTTTAGGATAATGTCTTTGTGAATGTGGTTGCGTCTGTCCAATACCGCGCTGTAGCTGACAAAGCGTCTGATGCTTTTTATAAACTCACCAACACAAGGGAACAGATTCAGTCGTATGTTTTCGATGGTATGTATAAACTGATTTTTCTGCTCTGTTCCATTATTGACATTAGTATTCTCAAATATCGGCTACACTGTAGCGGAAATTTAACAAACGGCTACTGTCCCGCGATACGCGATTTAGTTCAAAGTGTTGTCAAATGGTTACTAGGTTATGATATCTTTGTTGCATTGTTTCAGTTATCAGGGCCAGTGTGCCAAAGTTGGAGCTGGATGCGGTCTTTGAGCAGAAGAATGATATAGCAAAGGCTGTCGAAGATGAGCTTGAGAAGGCAATGTCGACCTACGGTTATGAGATTGTCCAGACTCTCATTGTTGATATCGAGCCTGATGTGAATGTCAAGAGAGCAATGAACGAGATCAATGCAGGTAACATATTCTAGTTCCGGTTCGATTCTCAACAAAGAAACATTTTACTTAATAAAGCACTTATATGATAAGCGTGCGATGTCATCATCAGCTGCGAGGATGAGGTTGGCTGCAAACGAGAAAGCTGAAGCAGAAAAGATACTGCAGATCAAGAAAGCTGAAGGAGAAGCCGAGTCCAAGTACCTATCAGGACTTGGTATTGCTCGTCAACGTCAAGCCATCGTGGACGGACTGAGGGACAGTGTTCTGCAGTTCTCTGAGAACGTGCCCGGGACATCGGCTAAAGATGTCATGGACATGGTGCTGGTGACTCAATATTTCGACACCATGAAAGAAATTGGAGCGTCGTCGAAATCATCATCAGTGTTCATACCACATGGTCCTGGTGCTGTTAAAGACATTGCTGTGCAAATTAGAGATGGTCTTCTGCAGGGAAATGCTGCAAATCTCTAAGTGCTTTGAAGATCTTTCATAAAAATAAAAATAAAAGTGCTTTTGAAGATACTGTAAATGCTTTTTAAGCTTGCATTTCATATTATTATTATGTTGTAGAGATGAACATGAGAATCTCTAGTTTTATATATTTTGAGTGGTAATTTGCAAATTTACAGTTTTTGTCTGTTAATAATATAATTAGAGGTTTGCTATTACTTTTCAAAAATAATTGGGACTATTGGATCTTTCTGAGTCTATATCTGATTTACTTCTCTGAGTTTTTTTTGAAGTTTGTTAAAATAAAATGTCATTTAAGTTTTGTTTATCTTGTGAAAATAGTTTTTAAATTATTTTTATTTCATGTTGGTTGAATTATTTAAAAATACAAATGATTTGATGCAGAATAATTATATATAGTAAACGAGGTTTTGGAACTTCTTGATTTCAAGGTAGAAAGGTGAGCAAAAAGATATAGAAGTACTTTTGTGAATTGATTCTCTCAATTAATGACAAAATGAAAAGTAAAATCTGGACCTGAGATGGGGAAAGATTTTTAATATATTTCTGAAAAAGTAAAATTGGTTTTGAAAAAATTAATTTTGTAAAATTGATTTGTAAATTCATACAGAATTAATATTTTAAAATATAATCAATTCTACTTCAGAGTTAAATATATTAATATCAATTTTACATTTTCATAATCAATTTTGATGTTAAAAATTTGAAATCAAACATACAACTAGCATTAACTATATGTTGGTAAGAGCTAGATAATAAGATAAAACTTAAAAATTAGAGATTAAATGGAGAAAAAATTATTTTTAAAAATTTAATAAAATTCAAATAGAATTAAACTTTTCTTGAAGAATTTTGAAGAAAAAAATATGACTTTTATTTTGAAGAAAAACTTAATTATATTAAACAATTTTTTTTTTTAGTTTTTGATAATTGTCCTTGACCGGAAATATAAAAACTTTTTATATATTAATTAAATTTATATTCTATATTAAAAACTTAATAAAGTTTAAATAGAATCAAACTTTTATTAAAATTTTAAAATAGATTTTTTTTAAACAATGGGAGTAGTGAAGTAGCTATCCCATATTCATTAAAAGAAAGATGAAGAGTTACCAGAGATGAAACAGAGCAAGGAAATCAATAAGTCAAATATTTCCTCTAAAATTAATTATATTAAACAAAAGTCAAATATTTTTTAAATTTTGATAATTATCCTTGACTGGAATATATATATATATATATATATATATATATATATATATATATATATATATATATATATATATATATATATATATATATATATATATATATATATATATATATATATATATATATATATATATATATATATATATATATATATATATATATATATATATATATATATATATATATATATATATATATATATATATATATATATATATATATATATATATATATATATATATATATATATATATATATATATATATATATATATATATATATATATATATATATATATATATATATATATATATATATATATATATATATATATATATATATATATATATATATATATATATATATATATATATATATATATATATATATATATATATATATATATATATATATATATATATATATATCAAGTAAATTTATGTTCTATTTAAGAAATATTAATATTAAAAATAGAATTACGACCAACAGCTTATACTTATATAACTTAACTAAAATTCATGTTGATGAAATATCATTCATCCTTAATTGATATTCTATTCCAATATGCTATTATTTTACCCCAAAAATAATATATTTTTCTTGAATTTATCACATAAAATGACAAAAGAATCATAATAATTAAAATAAGTAATTCTCAGTTATATCAATATTGTACATAGAAATCTTCACATGTCTTGTTATTTTTTCCGGGTAGTTTCCCAATATTGTATTTCGTACAGAAATTGGTGTCTTTGCCAAGATGTACTTGTTATTATAATAATTGCGGATTTGTTTGAATAAAGTATGAGGTACTGTAGTATGTTATATGTCCTATAATTGAAAAGAAAATTGATTAATTATGTATTTATATTCTATTAAATAACATATTACAAGAGAAATACTATGCTATATACAAAATCATGTTGAAAATAAAGATTATAAAATAATCTTCAAAATGAAATATAAACAAAAACAAACTAAATTATATATTTTAAGAGATGTATTTGATGATATTTAATGTGTAATCTCAATTTAAAAAACTGAGTCAATTAGTCAATTTATATTCCATAACCATAACTAATAAATTGATTCATTACAAATATAAAAAGTTAAATTAAATAAAGAGTACTATAGGGATATTATCATTGAATAGAAGAGGGAAAACAAAAATATTTATTAATTTTCAATATTTATTGATATTTTAATATTAATTACGCTTGAACCACATAAAAAAAGGTATTCAAGTTATATGTGCAATTGAATTCCATGTAGTTTGGTATCAAAAAGGAATTCAAAATCTGATCTAATCTAATTTTAAAAAGTGAAAGAAAAAAATAGGTAAAATTTAATATATGTTATAATCTTATTGGTCTAGAAAGAAAAGAAAGCAAAATAATGGATACAAAGTGACACTTATCTTTTGTTGCCACCAATTGGCCAAAACCAATTAAGATACTGTACCCCATTAAAAAGTATAAAAAATGAGTTATTTCAAAGCTGTAATATAAACAATGTTAAGACGCCTTATTAAAATAATAAATTTTGAAGGGAAAAACTATGAAGCTGTAAATAGAGTAATTCAATATGGACATATCAATTCCATGGATTGAATCGCCAATGCATAAAAATAAAAATTTATCAATAAGATCGGAATCAAGAAGATAATAAAAAGTATTGTTTTCTCGGAATCAATAAGATCGGTAATTTTTAACAGGAAATATCCACTGCATTTGAAACACAATTAAGTGTCACAATATATAAAGACAGGTAGAGCTAAACAGTATAGATGCATGTTTGAAAATGTGTGTTAATAACACAGCTCTAAAAGAAATATATAAAAAATACAAGCATCATCACATTGCAAAAAAGACGCATCATCACATGTAAATAGCTTATAAATCAACCTGAAAAAACATAAATAATTGAGCCCGACAGCTGAGTGCAACCAAAGATTATATGCCAAAAGATTGTGAAGATTTAATAGTAACATTTTTGTTTATAGAAAGACTGTTACTTATTTTTACAACCGCTGTATTGCTTAAAATGCAATCATCAAGACAACAAGAATTAACAACAATTATGTTCCAACTTCAAAAAACGCCAAATTCAGTCTTGAGAGAAAATTATGTGCTTTTTGCCAACAATGCCTACCTCAATTAAAAGGACTCAAAATTCCTCTCAAGGTTTGAGAGCCAGAGATAATCCAACCTTTGCACTCTTCTCAATAGCCTTAGTGTCCACCTCAGCAGAAATGGTCAACAATGATCTTGGACGCCACTCGTGCTGGATAAGGGCACTTGCCTTTCCAAAGTTGTTGAATCGAGCTTTCACAGTGGTCAATGGATCTACTGCATGCTGAGTTCCAAGTGTGAGTGTGTTCTCTTTGGTCGAGAACCGGTGAGCTACCTCAGCACCAACAGCTGATTTGGTAAAAGGGTTGACTACGTGGTAATATGAAGCATTCAGGACATTAGCTTTTTCATTCCTGCATAAATTTACCACACAATTCAATCAGTTTAAACAAAGACTTGAGAAGAAGAGTTTATAAACAGGCTATATATCTAAAAGAGTTAAACTAATACAACAAAACTTCAATGCATAAATTTAACACACAATTCATTCAGTTTAAACAAAGACTAGAGAAGAAGAGTTTATAAACAGGCTATATATCTAAAGAGTTAACTAATACAACAAAACTGCAATGCATAAATTTAACTCACAACTCATTCAGTTTAAACAAAGACTTAAGAAGAAGAGCTTATAAATAGGCTATATATCTAAAGAGGCAACTACTACAACAAAACTGTAATGTCCTGTCTAAATAGGCAAGGTTGGGTAAAGGTAACCTGATAAATCAGAAACTAGGAAACAAACTACTAAATGATTGTTGGCTCACACGTTATCAATAAAGTGCAAATCAGCTTTGAAGTCTTAGAAAAAGGGAAACAAACAGCTATTGAATGAATGTTGCTTCATGTTATCTAAATGCTAATCAGATTTGAAGTCTCGGAAAATACTATACAACATGTCAAAGTGATTTGCAAGCAAAACCAGCATTCGTTTAATTTTGAAATTCCAAAGCTCCTGCAAGCTATGAAAGCACAAAACTTCAGATTGAACATGTTGCTGGCGTCCGACACGTGCTGGATGACACCAACTCATAATTGAGACGTGTTATACTCGATCACTTTTATACGACGCGTATGTGTCAGTCAGTGCATGTAACTTACATAAATTAGATAGAAATAAATGAAACTTCAACTAGAAACCTCCTAATAGAGAGAGATGGGATTATCTTACAGAACCAATGAAGCCACCAAATCGTCTTTGGTGAAGTTCAAACCAACATTAAACTTAGTTAATTCGCCAGTTTTAGTGTCATAAGAAAGATCATGGCCGAGTGCAATTACATCAGTTCCAATAACACCAGAGAGGTTGACAATAGGGTTTGCTGTCAAACCAACACTGGCGGAAACTCCTGCATAGTCATGCAAGTACTGAACTTCCACCTGTTTCATCAAAAGTTTATTCTTCAAATTAGTGATTTGTGTTTTCTTCCATAGACTCGAAGAATTTTATGCAAAGTGAATGACTTATCTCACCTTTCCAGACCTTTGTTCAGGAACCCTGAAGCTAAGAATACCCTTGAGCCCAGGAGCTGCCTCATTAATAGTGATTGTTGTGAAGAGCTGCAATTTATACACACAATTAAATGTAGTCAGTAATAGGAATAAAACAGGTAATTTGAAGGATCAAATGTAAATTGACACATATTGATGTGCAGTGACGATCATATGGACGTAGATTACATTGCCGGATATTAATCACGATGCCTGACTTGTCACTGACTATTTCAAAAATACCAAAGGAAGCACAAAGCATGGAAATAAAATTCCTCAAATAGCCACTTATCCCCCACAACTTGCATCTAAATCAAGCTTTATAGTTAAAGTGCATTAAATAGATATAGTAAAATACTACTTTAGTCCCTTTTTATAAGCATCTTTTTATACTACAGAATGGGCTATAATGATTAGGAACAGATGTGATATAATTACAGTATAAATCATTTCAGGTCACTGAGACTGATATCAAAATCAAATCAAACATTTCTCACTTATTGATTGAATATTAAGGTTATTTGCAGAGTTGTGAACTATTTTACACATTATTGTATAACAAAGACACGCAAACATATAAAAAATGCTGAAACCCTGCCTTTCAAGGGTAGAAAAGCAAATGTATCAACCACAAAAACCGGTTCCATAATCTTTTGCAAGACAAGTTGAACAAAAGCTCATTTCAAATCATTGAGGCTGATATCAAAATTCAAACAAAGAATTCTCACTTATTGGATGAACATTGAGGTTATTTGACAGAGTTGTGAACTATTTTACACCCTACTATATAACAAAGACACACGAACATATAAACTATGCTGAAACCAGGCCTAAAAAGGATAGAAAAGCATGTGTATCAATCACAAACAGAACAGTGAACAAAAAAAAATCTCAGACAATAAAGAATGGTTAACTTACATTAGAAGCTGTGTCCACTTTGACATCAGTAGTGATATTCTTGTGCTTCAACTGTGTGTTAAGATCAGCAAGAAAAACCTCACCCTTTTTGGTACTTGAGGTGGTTATAGCCTGCAGAAACAGCCACACAAATAGAGAGTTCCAAAAGTAAGAATCATTATCATAGAGCCAAGCATCAACAGTTAAACACCTAGCAACTTAACCCAGACAAACATAGGCAGAGAATAGAACAATAATAATCAATACCACAACACATAATAACTATCGCAAAATTCAATAATATCTCCCAAGAAAACCACATACAGATACGATTCCAAAAAATATGGATCATTCTAACAAACACGCAAGCACCTAGCAATACATTAACCACAAAATTGAAGTATGATAATCTATGAAGTACCAACACAAACACGAACACCGGCCACACATGGATAATAATTTCAGATATAATTGAATGAGTCAATATCATGCCATTATCAGACACTATCTTTACCGAACACACCATGAATCTAAAGTGGCAGTACCAATACCACAACACCACATTGCTATCTCAATATCACAATCATGAATCATCAGTTCATCATCAAGCAAGTAAGCAAACCCTAAACACACATACACACACAAAATTGAACTTAATCACTCACACCACAAAACAACATTATTATCACAATAATCAATTACACCTCACAAAAATCACAACACAGGTAACCTTCCCTGTAATAACAAATCCTCTTATCTTTTCATTCGAAAATCCTCAACAAAATGCAAAAACAAAAACAAACAAAAAACTTACAACTCCGTTGGGTGAATAAGTAGTGAGAGTGAACTTCTGGTCAGTGTTGTAATCCTTGAACAGAAGATCTACAACAACAACAACAACAGAATACAACAAAAATGAATTTCACTTCAAAAATATAATAGAAAAATTGAAAAAATAAATACAATAAATAAACGAACAAATAGAAGGGAAACGTTGATCTAAAGAGAGAAATAGAGTACCTCTGGCTTTTCTGCCGATGTCAGTGTAGAGACCTGGACCCTTCGCCATTGCTTCTTCAGAGAAAATTGGAAAACGGAAGATGAAGAAGATGAAAGGTTTTGAGCTGAACGGTGAAATGAAATGCTTCGAGAAAAGTATATGTATTAGCCGGAGGAAACCCTAATTTCAGCACCCATTTTTGGAAAATGTTTATTTGATTTTTTTTATTAGTTATAATTGGTATTTATTTATTTTTTATGGGATCTGGACCGTTTGATAGTAAAGTGGTAAGTGTTTGGATGGTTGTGGCCGTTTGATTGATGTTTTCTCTATGATTTAGATTTTGGAATTGCTTTAAATTGCATAGGAAACGAGCTGTTTGATTTATCAAATAAATAGTAGTAGAGAAATAAATACAAGAGAATATTATTTGAATGTATGAAATGTAAAAAACAATGAGAAAAAGTATAGGCAGTCCTTATAAAATTATTTTATATTCTCAACAAATCAATTATATATGCAAATCACATTTAAATTTTAAAAGTACTTTTTGACTTTTTATTTGTTGATAATGTAAAATTATTTTATATTGCTAGTTAATTGAATATGCAATATTTTGTAAATTTAGTAATTAAATGTGGTTGTAAATACAAACTAATCTAAAAATATATATATTTAATTAAAGTAATATGTAGGTCTCGAATCAAGTTTGAACTTACGAGCATGGAAGATGAGTGTACCATCGGTCCGACGTATTCTTTAAAGTTCAATAAATTGTCTGAGTTGAACTTCGGATCGCAGTCAATTCTCAAGAAAGATAATCTGAGAGTTAATATGACACACGTAAAAGACAAAAATTGTGGTAAGCAAATAAAGAGAACGACAAAATAAAAAGATACAATGACACATATCTAATCAAAATAAAACAACTACATCAAGTAAGAATAACTCATTTTAAGAAGGAGAAAATGAGATCTACAAATCTAACTCATCCCCAACATTCACAACATTGAAGCATGTGAAAGAAACAAGTGACAGATGTCTTGAAGCATATTGAAGGTCAAAGTGAATGGAGATGAGATGATAATTTAACATAGTAACCTAACTTTTATTTTCAGTTACAAGTTTAATACAAAGTTGTTAGGGTTGTTAGTTATCATTAAAGTTATTATATGGTATATCATGAACACGATAACTTATGGTGGTTGTAATTACATGAATATAAATAAATCATTGTAATATCTTATTGATTAACGAGATTTTGTCTAACAATCATGTTTATTTTGATTTCTTAATACACCGGTGTCCCGTGAATAATTTATTGATCGGAATGAATTTGATCCCTCAATATATGCACCCCTTAATGGAAAAGCTTGACATGCCTTAAAGCATTCTCGAAAGAGGTTTGCAACACTAAATACTCTTGTTCTATCGACCTGACATATTCTTTAGACAAGGTGATATATTTGGAATGCCTTTCCTAAAGGTCGTCTTGGGCCTTTTTTTAGCCTTTCCAATATTCATTCAAAGATGCCTCCAACTTTTTCACTGTATTGCATGGATAGTTAGACTCTTATATCACATTGGCAATAGTAGTCTCAGTATTAGACAACGTCGTTTGGGAACACATCAAAGTGGTGTCCATCTCCTTGCAAAAGTTACTCATCTTGACAAACTTTGTCAAAATCTGATCTTGCACAATGACAAAGGCGTCAATATGGTCATGAAGCAGCGCATTCTCTTTTCAAAAAGGATCGGGTAAGAAGACGTCCCATTTGCATGTACCATTGAATGCCAAAATTTTCGAATTTTTGAGCACTTAATACAACGTCTATGCCATTTCTTCTTGATGAACAACTTAAGCCTTGATATATAATTTAGGATAATTCTCTTCTAAAACAAAAGAACAAAGCTCTTTGGTCATTCAACGATCTAGATGAGACATAAGCAGCGACATGTTGGCGGGGATCAATGATGAACTTCCCCCAAGATACAACCTTCCCAAGTCAGGTTTTACTCTTCGAGACCTTTTTGAGAACAACACTTTGGCATGAGTTGCTCCTTCAACCTCGACCATGGAAGCTCTCTCAACGATGATATTTGGTGACAAACACATATTATTTCCCCTGGTAGGTCGAGTAAGGAGGCATCTCACTTTGGACTGCACTAGAATAAGAGGGACGAGAGAAGACAAATCAACATGACTCCCTGAGGCATAGACCCTGCTCAAAACTGAAAAAGCAGCAACCTCTAAGGGTATAAAGGTAAATCATTGTGCCTTCTTCATTTGAAGCATTGTTTCACGACAACTTATCTTATCTACAAATGAAACATAGATGAATTATGAAAACATTCACTCTAGAAACCTCGAAAGGAGAAAGAGAAATCTTATGTGTGTTCACCGAAAATGAAGTGTTTCTCCTATTTGGTGGCGGCATCCACCAGAAAACACATTTTTATACAGTGCCTCTTATGTTTCTTTGAAGATACCCCAGAGGGAACGACTTCGCCAATGAAACCCAAAGTTTCAAAGAAAGCCACCAATTTGTTCTTTAAGTAAGTTTCCTCATGAGATAAATCATTAAAAAGATGGATGTAAGTCCCCACAACAGCTGGAAAATGATTTGATCGCTAGAACTTTAGGAATCTGTCAAGACACTTTGATGACGCGTCACGAGGAACATCGCACATGTTGACATGTTCAAATTTGGCGAAGGGGTAATGATATAATAATTGTCTTTAAAGTTCTTCAAACAAACAGTATAAACCTCAGACATCCTTTTGTCGTGCCTAAGAGAAAGCAAGCCTTAACCCTAACCATTCTGGCCGAACTTCGTTGAATATTAAAGATGTGACAAAAGATATTCAAGGTTGGCACATTCTTCTTATATTAACACTAGTATTGGAAGACCTTAAGATATGTCCAACTCACTGGGTGCAGTTGCGAGGGTTAACTTGTTAGACAAATGACTTCAATTAGAAGATGGGGGTTAATTTGTGGTATTTAAAAATCGTAATTAATTTAAAAGTTATATTTAAAAAGAAAATTGTGTTAGTATCAGCAAAGATCAGAGATAAAAACAGTAGAAAGAAAATAAGAAGGTGAAATAAATAGCCAAATTTAAAGAAATAAATGTAGAGAGATGACACTAGAGAATTAGCCATGTTCGGTTAAAAGTTGGTCTAGATGATTAGGTCTAATCAATTATTTAAAAAAAGAATCAATTAGAATTAGGACTAATAGATTATTTAGTTGTAAAACAACTCTTAATTGATTAGACATTTCCCTAATTAAATAGTCGGGGCTTATAAAGGACTAATAAATCCATTACAAATTTATCACCTCAACCTTCTAAGGGGTTCCATGATCATAATCGTTGAACGATACCATTAATGTCAACACCTTGATTAAATTTGTTGAAAACATCATCAACGTCTCGATAAAAAACATAAGGATTGACAAACACCATCAAATAACCATATTTTTTTGTATACCTATGGTATACACATGCTTTGCACAACTTTATTGAATTTGCAAGGAAGATTTCTTCAAAGATGCAAAGCATTCCTTTTTCATCTTTATTGGTGTAAAGCTTTATATTTCTTTATAGATCCCTTAGGTGAGTATGTTTAAATAGTCCTTCATATGATCGATGAATTTGTAACCTGTTTCGGACTAGCCCAATGGCTAGGCACGACCCAGTCCACTTCTGCTCCCAAAACGGCCCAATTGCCTAAGTACAACCTCTTTGGTGGGAAGTTTACCTTTCTGCCCCTCAAACAGAGGAGGTTGACCTATTTACTATTGGTCACAACACTTCTCTCCATTAGTATCTGCCTGTCACGCACGGTTCCACCATCCAGAAACAACCAAGATGCTTGTGTCCGTAACTATGCCTCTGCCCGCGCCAACAGCTAGTTATGGGAACATATGCCCGTCCCAAGGGCTAGTTCTAGCAGTTACTTATTCTTCGGGAACAGTTATCTCGTCCCGAAAATAGGGACCAATAGACAAGCGCTAGGGACATTATAAAAACCCTCTCCTTTAAGAGGGCCAGGTATCCAATATTCACCCTAAAACACACATATTTTGTACTTTCTCTCCCCCTCTCTCTCTCTCTCTTGTTCGTTTTCTTACTTTAGCATCAGAGTGCCTTGCAGGTACACCCCCTCATCCTCTTTTACACCCAGCATCACAGACGTTTGTCTTTGCCCGATCTCAGGTTATGGTCATTTGGTAAGATCAGTGGCGCCGTATGTGAGAAACTTGTTATCCCCGTATTTTCTCTCTTCGTAAAACACAATACCAAAAGAACTCTTCAAATTTCTGATCATGGTTGCCCGTGACAACAATCTTGATGCTCGTAACTTTGTTTTTCTCCCTGTCAACAAGACTGATGCTAATGGAGCCACCACCTCTCATGGCGGCGACGTCCTCCGACAAAGGGACGGAGCCACAACTTCTCAATCCCCTGTTCGTGCAGATCACAACGAAGCCCCACTTGTCCCGCAGCACCTGCTAGTTCCAGGCGCAAGAGGAACCGTCAGGCGCCTCCAAAGCCAGAGACCCTGACCATCCGCAAACGCGACCAGATTTCTCCTCAAAACCAACATTCCCCACAACCCAAGAGGACCAGAAGAGTCCACAAAGCAGAATCCCAACGTTCGTCTCCGCCCAGATCCAAGGGTCGAGCACGAACCCCGTCTCCCCGACGAGACTGCCTTTTTACCTATAAACGTGATGCCTGCTCCCCTTCTTAGACCAGCAGCAGTAGCGATGACGAGCCTTGCGGCCCATTGTCTCAGAAGATTATGGCCATGCACCTCCCAAAGGGACTAGAGAAACCTCTTTCTTTATGCATATACAACGGAACAACTGATCCCGATGAGCACATCGAAAATATCAACGCACTGATCGACTACCGCAACATCTGGGGCGCCATCAAATGCAGGTTATTCCCAACCACACTTAGGAAGGGCGCAATGACCTGGTACAAAGGGCTTTTTGACGACTCCATCACCTCATGGAGGCAAATGAGGAGACTCTTCTCCATACATTTCACGGCCTC